GATGGAGTCCACCACTTGACCTGGACCAGCCATCAGGAAATTAATTAAAATTAATTTTATATAAATTTTTATATTAAATTTAATTAAATAAAGAGTTTTTTTAAAATATACATATATATATATATGTATATATTGTATAAATGATACAATAAAAGATTCTAGAAACTCTGTCCTCTCAATTCTCATGATATAAGAATATCAACTTTTTATGTAGGGATTGTTCCTGGAACTAGATACTAAACTTGGTAAATAAGTTGAATAAAGTAGATTCAAATTGAGTCATAAACTCGAATTTTAGATTTATTGGGTTGAATTATTATATATTTCGATAAATGGGATACGTAAATGCATGACTCACTCATACAAATTTTAAATTGGATCAAATCTACCCAATTATTTTAAAAATATTTAAACTTAAATTTAACATTTTTAACATTTTCTCCTTTTTAAAAAAAATCAAATATTAATTAATTATGTAATTTTAAAAACCTCTTAAATTAATCTTAAATCTAATAATTTAATAAATAATAATTATTTTAAATTTAAAATTACATTTTATTTAAAAATTAAAATAAAAAATATGTTTAATCAATATTTTAAATTTAAAACAGCAAATTAATTTTAACTAGGTTACTTCAAATTTACCCGATCCAACCTTGAATCAACCCAATCAAATTTAAATAATTTTAATTTGAATTATATTAAATTTAAAATACCTTAAACCTAAAACCTAACCCATAACAAATCTGATTTTTACCATGTTTACGATTTCATGGGGCCATGATCATCATGTGCAAATAGTTTAGATTCCAGGTCATAATAGCAAGTCCATCATGACCATTTTGATACTGGAATGTGAAAAAACAAATTTTCATCATATCTCTTCTCATTCGCTTGCATCATGCTTAAGATCTACATTCTCTCCACCGTGGGGTTGAATAATTCTAAGAGAATTCAACTAACAGAGAAAGTTTGGTGCATCAAAAGCTGTTATACGGCAGGCATTGGCAGCCTTCTTTGGTACTTCTCCACTAGTGATTTCCCCATATGGGCCCCTTTGGACCTTACGTGCAAGTAAAATCTTGAGTAATGGCAGTCTAATAAGCACATGCTATAACTAACAATCTGTGAATTCTAACGAAAAAAATTTAAGTTTTTTTTAAAAAATAAAATTTTAAGTTTAATTTTTGTAAAAGAGAAACAATTTAAAGAGAGCTTTTCTTTTTTTACGAGATTAATTTAACTTGATTTTAAATTAATCGAATCTTAATATAATTTTTGAATATAAAAATAAGTACACGGTATATATGACTGGAGATTAAGTATATCTGACATGGGTATTTCAAACTCTTCCTACTTTCTTTTCCCATGTTTCGCAAGATTCAAGACATGTATTCACTGAAATTTAAATTTTACATACTAGGTTCTCATAATAGAAGTGATTCTTATATTATATATCCCATGTAAAAGTTAAACTTTAATCCAAAATTTTGGGCTATCAACCACAAAAAAAAAGAAGAGAAATTTCATTCAAAAAAATATGCAGTTGAGGGATTCAAGGCTTTCTAATGTTCTAACAAGTATGTCTGTCAAGATGCCTCAAATTTGCCAATGATGCAGAGAGAGATTTTTTTTTTTTTGGCCAAATGCAGAATGAGATTAAAATAGCACAACTGCACGATACTAGAATTCTATGACATACATGCATTTGGAATGACAACTAAGTTAGGTCTAATTGAACAATCATATATGTGTGTGTGGCTCGTAATCATTTCTCCTTAAAGGAAACAGAAAGGGTAGTGTGAAATTGGGACAAAAGTGTCTAGAACAACTATCTTGAAGGGAAGAAACACACTACATTAGTTCAGTGAAAATCAGATAGAAAACATCAGCCTTAATTTCTCATTCAATCGAATCTCAACAAGTACAGCCTGAAGATGATGGGATCAGGAGAGAAAGAAAATGACATATATTTAGTGCCCTAAGGTAAGATTAAAGTAAATGGAAAAGACAGTAATTTTAAGTTCAAGATAGCTTATCTTCTTGAATCCTACCCAGCAACTGGTATACAGCAGTGGCAATGTCATCCACTGAAGTCAGGATACAATCATCTTCTACCTGCATTTCAAATTAACCCCAACATTAATCGAAAGTGGGTTTTCTTTCCATTTCAAGGAAAAACAACTCAGAGAAAGGCATTTTTCATATGTATCTTTCTCTTACTGACCTTAACATTGAGGGAGTAGAGGACAGTTTGCTCAACTGTCGTGACATAGAGATGGAGAATGGTGAGGCGCATGCTACTTAGCCCGAAAATAACCTTCAACAGCTGCCCTGGATTCTGTGTTTTCGATCTGATTTTGAGGTTTGCATGGCTCTCCACCATGGTCACTTTTATATCAGCTATGGCGGATTGAGTCTCTGACATTGTTTCATCTACTTTTGTTGGACTTTCAACCAGAGGTGAACTGGTTGAATACTGTACGGGAAATGTGAAGAATTCAGCAAAGAGAGAGGAGATGCCGTCCACATCAGATGATGATTTGTCCTCCATTTCTTTCTGGGCACTTAGTAGTTGAAGCTGTTGCTCCAGTTCCTTCACAAAATTGATTGCACCTCCTACAATTGAAGCTTGATCACCCTGATAATCGGAGAAACAGAATCAAGATTTACATACTTGAAACTTTCAGAAGCATTTCCTCAAACATATGGTAAACATAAATAGAAAAGAAAGGTACCCTTTGAGCATAAGATTCTGGCATCAGGGATCGAAGAACAGAGAGGTACTCATTCATTTGCTTTCTTCGATTTCTCTCAACAGCAATGTGAGTCATTCTCTGATTCTCAATCTCCTCCTTGTTCTTCCGGCTCTTGGACCGGCGTCTCCTAGGACGATCCGCCGCCACAGTCATCGTTGTGGAAGTACCCTGCTGCGACCCAGCACAACTGGTAGCATCTAAAGATGAATTTTGTTTGTGCAGATGGGGCAGTTCAGACATACTAAACTGGTGAGCCACCATTGAAGGTGGTGGCGGTTGGGGTGAAGAGGAACTCCAATCCCCATGAAGAAAACCGTTTGTTTGGTTCTCGAGAAAATCGAAGGATTCACATGATCTATCTTCCACTTTCTCTACCCCAAAACCCCCTCCTCCTAACACGCTGTTATGCCCAAGGAACTCCTGCTGAAATACTACGGCCTCTAATGCCATTTCTCCTTGCTCTTTCTTTCTCTGAATCTCAAGAACAAATCTTTATCGATTAGAAAAAAGGGAGACCCATTTGAGAAACAGAGAAGGGAAGAATTAATCTGTTGGGACTTGAGTTTGAGAAATGACAGATGAGGGCTTTTTAAGGGCATTTTTCTACAGCATGATTGCACGTGAATGAAATATCAAGGAATTTTCACCCAAAAAAAAGAAAAATCAAGGAATTTTATTGAAATGGTAAAAAAGTAAGAAAGTGTTGGAGTGCAAATTTGCATATCAAACACCTTTTACATTTACTAGTTTTACTACATGAATTTTCGCAAAGAAAACTAATGCTAGAGTTTAGGTTCCCTTAACTCTCTCTTCAAGGCCTGTTTGTTACAATAGAAATCTTATTAAGAATAATGTTTTTATTAAAAAAGTGATGAGAAAAGCACTTTATATAAAATTTATAAACTTTATACTAAAATTTTATTGAAATTTTGTTGTATTAATCAACTTTTTTACATTTAATAAAAAGTTGATGTTGGAAAGTTATGTGAAAGTAGTCAATTGAGACTCACGTTGAGAAAATAAGGAAAACATTTTTCTTTTGAAAAGTGGAGAAGGGAAGTTTATTTATGGAGAATTATGTTAGGTAAGATATTTACTAAAAATATCATCTTTACTCTTATTTTATTATAATATTAATGTATGAAAATACCAAAATAACTCTACAGAATCTAAGTAGAGGGAAAGTTTCCCTTTTTACCAAACATGACCCTAGGGTTAAGATTAGGGTTGAAAGTTAATGTGCTACTGATGATAGCTTGCCCTCATTAAATAGGTTTTCTTTCTCTCATCTCTTTTCTTTATGTTTATTATCACTATGCCCTTCTTCCTCGTGCCTAGGGTTTCAATAAAGCACTTATTTTGTAGGCATAACCTTAGGCAATTAGCACAAGGAGGATCTGAAAGGTGGGCTTGTGACGGACTAATGAAGCTGTATTGATGTCTTTGTGATTGAATGTTGGAAACCCTCTTGGAAGAAGCTATCCAAGTTGGAAAACTTACATACCAGGAAAGGAAGGCTCATTAGTGCATGTGTTGGAGGTGGCTTCAATGTACATACTTTGATGCTCTAGTCAACAATATTCTAGTGGAAGGTGAAAAAGGAGTAAAGGAAAGGAGGTTGTTGCAGTATGGAAAGGAAATTACCTTTTGAATGAAGGAGAAGATCCCTTTTATAGTCCCCCAATGTGGTAGTCTTTATCTATTGGAAAGCTTCTACACGTCCATGTCTGAGCTTTTTTACCATTCACCGAATTACAATATAAGCTTGGAAAGCACCTGAGGAAATGCCATCTAGCTATAGAGACAAGGAATGCCTCCCATGGTTCTCTAAGATTGTTAGGTGCAGAGTAAGAGATGTTTGCATACTTCTAAAACTTGTACGTGATCCCTACTATACTAGGTCCTTTGTCTTAGCCACCAAGTGAAAGGTCTTAGCTATAGTTAAGCAAGGTTGGTTAGCTTCATAGATAGAGCTTTTCATCTAAGATCCTAGGAACTTAGAAGGACTCAACTTGACTAGGTTTTTATAAGAAAGTTCTCCCTTTTGTCTACTTAAGCTGGAGTACCTATGTAGTTAGGAAAGCTTTAACCCTCAAGACAATGGGAACCTACAGGTGTTGGGTATGTTTTGACTTGATATCAAAAGAGATTTTAGACATTTTTAGTGAGGAACTAGAATTGACACATGACCCTTGAATCCCACATTGGGATGGAATTGTGAATGTTATTGATATATAATTGTTATGATCAATCACTACAAACATCTTGAGCTTATTGAGCTTTTAAGGGCCTACGGACCTTGGCCCGAAGAATTGTTACACCAGTGGTGGCCTTCAACCTAGTTTGTTACGATTTTGTCTACATTTCAATTGTTATTAGGACTTGATTAGAGAAGATTTTTGAGTTGTAGGTCTAATGAACAAAAGAATTCCCACTATTGTTGGCAGGCTAACCAGGCCATGAGCATAATGGGAGCCTCTAAAAAATTAGAAGGAAAAAGGTGCCAAAACTATGTCATTTTAATAAACACCCATTGAAAAAGATAAAATAACCTATTTTTTAAGCAAAAAAGAGTGTTTTGGATTTTTTTTCCATGGTGTTTTATTAAATGAACATAGTTCTGAGGTGTTTTTCCTCTTAATTTTTCATAGACTTGGCTAAACATTAATCTCATAAATAAATAAATAAATAATATAATAAAAGAATAACAGTTATAAAATTTATAGAATGATCGTTAAAAAATTTAAAGGCCGACAATTACATAAGTTAAATGCCAAAGATTACCAAATTTATAAGGCAACAATTACAAATTTAAAAGGGGCAACAATTATATTTTCTTATTCTATATAAGACTCCAAATGCAAATCATTTTTCTCCTTATGTATGTCTCTCTTCTTCCTCCTAAAATTTACAAATCCCACCTCTCCTCAACTTTAGCTCTTTTTGTCAAATTGAAAATTCCAGTGCTTTTTAACTCAATCTCTAGCCTTGATTTCTACCTTTCCTATTCAAGGTAAGTAAAATTTATAATTTTACCCTTGGTTTTAAACTGAGCTTTTAAAGCATGGCTTGGAACTATTTTCAGATGGAGGCAAGACTAAACCCATTTTATATGACTAGCATCATAGCATGACATGGTATTGCTTTGGATATCTAGTTTAAGATTTTCTAAAATTAGTGATACTATCTAAATACCTACCATACACATGATGACTCCCTTATTGGTCTATGTCCCTCGTGGAATAGCTGAATTAGCTAAGTCTCGCTAGCTCGGTCTAACCTTGAGAAAGCTCTTGTAGAATACTTGGTAGATCTACGTACCTGTGAGGTTCCTAGGTTCCTAGCTGATGAGCTATCTTGGTCAAAATCTATGTAGCTAGTGAGCTATTCCAGGTAGAGCCACTAAGCTAGCTTGGCCACTTAGACAAGGTAAAGGACAAGATATAGAGGACAGGGTGCCACACCGTGTCAGCTAGTACATGCATGGACCACTAGGTTGTGCCACCTTAAAAAAGTTAGAAGACATTGCCCACTTCTTTTTTGTCTTATGTCCACATGTCCTACTCGTACTGGATGTCACAACTACCATCTGTATTATTTTGGTAGGTATGGAGCTTACAACGTACAGAATCTAGCAACTCTACCCATTACACAACATATCAGGAAAGGAACTATAAAAAGGTCTCCTCACTCCAAAAAGGCAATTCCTTTTGAGTCCCTCTTTTCCCTTAGACTTCTTTTTCTTCTCCCAACACTCTCAATGGATGTTGCCTAACATAAGTGTTGGAGGGTGCACACTAGAGACACCTTTGGTGCCTGCCCTAACAAGTTTTTCCTTTTTCCTGCACATAGGTGATGCAAGCGCTTGAAAACCTCTTCCAGTTGTTACAGGTAGCAAAATCAAGAATATCAATAAGCATGCCTATTTATACATGATTTGCTATTGATATCATGTTTTTTTTCATAAGATAAATGTTTGGTTTAAAAGAAATATGCTTTATAATTCTAGCATGATTTTATTTCCAATATGGTCATGATTCTATGCTCACCAATGGGAGGTATTAAATAGTAGCCATGACCTTAGAGGAGACTACTTATTGAGGTTTTCACACATGGCATTCTTTTTTAGCTTTTTAATATATTTTTAAGAATCTATAATTTGACATGCTTTCTTATAGAAAAATAAAAATAAAAAAGGGTTACTGTAGTTTACTTATTGGGATGTATCTCACATTTTTCCTTATCCACCATTTTAGATAACGAGACTATAGACTATAGAGATCATGGTGCATGACATTTTATGGCTAGTTGATTAAAATAGACATTGAGCTATGGTTTAGATTTGACATTATGATAACTTAGTATATTTAAAAGAGTTATGATCCACTTATATACAAATCTCACATACCACACTTTCACAAAATTTTGACCATTCATTTCTTTGATTTCAATGATTGAAATTTATTTACCTTTTATCATATACATTAAAGATAATTATCTCTCTTTTTTTAATCTAAAGTATTATAATAATTCTCAACCATTAAAATTTAAGAGATAAATGATCAAGATTTTATGTAAATGTAATGTGCAAAACTTATGTATAAGTGGATCCCTATTCTATTTAAAAACAGTTTATATTATGTCAACTTAGAAGTTATAACTTAGATATTAAATTAACATTTTAGGTAATTTTATAGATGTTGAAGTTATTTGGAGTTTCGTAGTTTATTGAGTTGGTAATGTGCCTTGGGCATCTATGAGGCCCACTCATGGCGTCTGTTCTGCTCCTATCACGCCCCAAACCAGGGAAAAAGGTAACCATTAGTCATGAGTGCGGGATGACCCATGACAACACAATTTCAAGTCATTTTCTTCTAGTTCATGCATTTAAGCTTTTAGAATAATTATCAACGACAATGATGCACAATGCTTAGAAAAAAAAAAAAAAAAAAGGGAAAATTTTGAAGAATGACGCCACCCTCTGGCTGCTCTTAATACTAATCGATCATTTTAATTTGACATAAAGTGCAGAAAAGTTAAGTTTACTGCTAGTATTGCATACTTTGAATTCATAATGCAAAAAAAAGCGAGTTTACTTTTTCTCGGGAAGCATTGTTAAAGCTCTATTGTTACAAAATTATCTACATATATAGATCGCAAATCTCTATCCAAGCTATTTGGAAGAAATTTACTTCTATAATTCTCCTTCCTAGTCTTACGAGATCAGGTTATATGCCACAAGACCCCCAAAACCTCAAAAGCTCCATCACTTTTTAAAGTAGAGGGCCCTTTAAAAAAGGATTAAAGGTGTACAGAATCCTAAAATTATCTAACACCTTCTAGATCATGTATATTTAGTAATAGGAAAATGCTTAGTGCACCTCCTAGTTTGACACCCGGTGTGCACACTCTACAAAACTGAAAAAATATAAGAATAAAATTATAAATTTAACTTTAAAAGTCATCTTCCTCACAATACCTCTTTTTCTTTGTCTCTCCATCTTCCTCTTCTAACAAATTCATTATCTTCTTTCTTTTTCCTTCTTCCTCTTTTTT